CCTTACTCGTCGACCCCATAGCTCTCCCCGAAGTATTTATCAACTAAACCATTGGCCATGTTCCTCAGGTCTTCATTTTCATGGAACTGGTATCTTTCCATAGCATCAATCCCATCCTCTCGCTCAACTAGTTTTGGACCCTCTCCACTTGGCATTCCTCTCAAGACCTACATTGCACAGGAAATGAAATAGTTTTGCATCATTCCTCAACACTAACAAAAGATCGTTAGAAACAAAGATGTGGCTCGATCAAATTAGCAGCAAGGAAAACAAGTGTGCCGCATAAGTCAATTCGCCCATGTCCACCTGTAAGGAAAAGAAGGAACATGGATTCCAAAGTATTCAAGATAAATTGGTAAAGAATCTTCCTAGGCATTCATAACAACTACCAAACAACCAGTAAACATGGTCAAAGTCAATCTACTGCACATAACATAAATAACTTCTCTAGTGCACAACTGGCGTGAATACAAATAAAATCATTAGATTTGCTCACCAGCTCCATGAATTGAAGTCCTAGTCTAGCGGCCTCTACATCAGCAGATCTAACCAAATCAATAAAACCAGAAAGGCATCCTCTCTGAACAAGGGAAACCAAGTGCTCCTGGATCAGATTTGGCATCCCATCACCTCCTGTAGGGGCAACACAGAGGTTGCCCAACACATATGCTACTTCTTTTCTTATATCAAAGGGAGCTGTTGAAAGAAGGTGCAGTAGTAAAGGTACTGCCTCACTAGAATATATCAACTGCTTGTGTTCAACAGAACCAGCTGCTATATTAGATAAAACCCATGATGCTTCCTGCATGAACAATAACGGTTAGAGTGAGAATCACTGCTGAAGATTAATACCAGCAAAATAAAGCAAGCTCACTCACCTTCTTCAAGACCCTGTGCTCACTCTTCAGACACTTTACTAGGACTTTTATAACACCATCTGAAAAGGCAATTAAGATCATCAATATTTTACAGATAATATGAATATGATAAGGGTTGCAATAAATCATCTCTAGCAAGCAGAGATATTCACTAACCTGTGATTGCATGCCCAGGGACAAGAATGGTAGAAGTTGTATGTGAATCACCAGCCACAAGATTGCCTAAACTTCTCAGCACCTAGATGAAAAACTATTTGTTATTAGAATCAGACAGCAAGCAAGAAATGTTCTTGAAACCATCTTGAGTCCATGAACAATGCAGTGTAACAACCAAATGAATACTGCCTGACAGAAAACTACACCAGAAGACTAACACTAACAAACTCAAACTTAGAAGCTCCTTACTATAGCATGGTCTTTGGAGATTGGATGAAGAATTGTAATATTATTTATTTTACTTTATTTTCATGAGCTTGCTTTCATTCTGAAACATCGGCCATTTAGAAACAACAGTAACATCATCACAAAAGTATGCCAAGTGGAGAAGCATATATGCATAAACTAGCAACAGAGAGCAAAAGCATAACTCATTTTGTATGTTACCGGAATGAGCAGTTGCAGACTATTTGATGTTGCCAATCTTTCGACAAGAAGGTGAAGGGCATCACTCTTCACCAGAACACCAGTAGCAAAATTTGAAAGGGCTGAAAGATACACCACCACCCATGCTACTTCAGTGGCCAGCTCCTCATCCCTGGATTTGAGAAGCAACTTTTCATTGCATCTAAGTCATGTACATTTCAACAGAACTCAATATGTTTAATTTGACATCTGCTCTTACGATTTTCTTAAGTGTCGAAGAATTGCATCAAGCACTCCATCAACTCTGATGAGCTCAGTTGCAGCTTTAGGATCAGGTCCCTATGTCCAAGCACACATGATATTGTAAAAGAAAGTTTAAACACACACATGCATAAACACAGCGCACCACAATCCCTACCACATAAGTATATACAAACAAAAGTGGTTTACTAGTAAAGGTTCAAAACCTTGATAAGGTTTGACAATGCCCACGCCGCTGTTCTCACAGTTGAACCCTTGTTTGGCAACATCATTCTTGCAAGAGGTGGCAAAGCCCCTTGAGATAGCAAAACATTTCTTAACTCCTCCCCTTCCCCAGCAACATTTCCCAATGCCCATGCACACTGCTCAGCAACAGGCAAGGAACTCTTTTCTGCAAAATGAGGGAAAAGTGCACAAACTTTCAGCTGCTAAACTTAAGAAAAAGTACTAGCATCAATAACAGGTAAGTATGATTTCTAGAACCATGAATGGTTCTCTTCAATGGTGAGAGAGAGAGAACAACAAAAAAAAACACACCACCTACATTCAAATCTTTTTGTAAATTATCAGTTCCAAGGCCAAAAAAATATACTTCAGGGTTTTAACTGTCAGAAAGAGTTGACTAAACATCACAAACCTCCAAGGTGAGCAATAAGCAATGGTAATGCAGGCAACAGAGCTTTTGTTTCTTCTGGTTTTCCGGCAGCAATGTTCGTAAGGCACCATGCTGCCTCTAGCAACTGCAATATAACAGACAAGACATGAAAATGGATCAAAAAACTTATCTGATTTACTTGCAAAGAATGATCACTCAATTCAAAAACTCTAAACATTGGCAAAACACAAATCCATCCAAGTTAGACATAAAAAACCAAAACATTCGCAGCAAAACTGTATAAACAAGCATTGTACAATAATAGGCAACTATTCGCAGCTTTAAACACGAGACCAAAAATTTTCAAAATCTATGAACCTGTTCATCCTGAGAGCCAAAAGAAAGACACTGCACAAGCAAGGGGATCGCTCCAGCTTTTAGAGCAGCTTCAACAGGAGGGAACTCCGATTTCGACAATAACCGCCTTAGCTCACGAAGTGCATTTACCCTCTTCTGCATTGCACCTTTTCCCCTAAATGATTGATTAACAAATTATCATATCCCAAATATAGTAAGAGTAACCTAATTAAACACAATTTAGAAATTTAATCGTAGGATTAAACTATTAATAGACATACTGATAAGCAACGGCGGATTTTAAGTCTTCCACAGCTGAAGAAGTTTGGGCTTCCAAATGAAACTCTTCTTCATCAGTTATCATATCATTTCCTTCGACCGGAACCTCTCCGTCAGCGCTGGGTCCCACTCTACATAACCGTTTCGCTCGAACCAACGACTCTCTCCTCTCTTTCCCGACCGTTACCGCATTTTGCCGCCTCCGTTGAGCAGCCACGTTCCCAACTAAAACAAAAACAAAGCCCAGATCAAAATGGAAGCCGTATAACGTTAAGGAAAACCTAGAATGGCAGAGAGGGGGCGAACCTGAAGATTTGATGGGGTCCCTTCGATGGGAAGCGGGGGAGTCATCGGCCATTTTGTTAAGGAAGCTTTTGAAAGTGAGGTTGAAGAGTGAAGAAGAAAACTGCGAGTGCTACAAGGGTGAATCGAGCTTTCTTCCCCCTTTTTTTTCTTATTTCCTTTTTGGGTTTTCGACCGAGCGCGAAAAATCGTCCGCCTATTGATTGATTGATCGCCGTTTTGTTCCGCTAATTGAAAATTTAGGCCTGATTGTTTCTTTTATTTAGAACCTCACAACCCGATTTCTCATAATTTCATTTCTTACCCATAGCTTTTTGCATTTAATCAATACTCTCCTCCTCAGGTTGAGTAATGATGAAGTAGTTTTTCTTTTTAATTTACTAATGCTTATGGGTAAAACAGATGCCTTTGAAGAAAATTATATTTTATAATTTATCCTATCATGAAATTTGTTTAGTATTCTTTTTTATCCTACTCAGATTGATGAAACTCTATTTAGTTTGAAAAATAATATCTTAAATTTTTATAACTAATAGTTAATTTTTTAATGTTAATCAAATTAATAATAAATAGATAATTATTAATTATAAAAAACTTATTTAATTTAAAATAAAAGTAAAGCAATTCAATTGAACCTAACAGAATCAAAATGCATCAAAGCAATTTATAATTGCCTTACACAAATTATTAGCGGTTATGCATGGCATTTGAGTCAAAAAAATTATAAAAATAAGTACTAGTGTCACTGTCAAAAAGCTTCATATTTATATATTTAAAAATTTACCTCTTACTGACGTGAAATCTATAATATTAACACTTTTACAATCACTATAATAGATATAAAAAAATTATTTTCACTTGACTTAGTAATTAAATGAAGTTTATACTTTTGGCAAAATTAAATGCAATTCCGGCACATTGTGAGCTAGACTAATCAATCATTTTTCCCCTGTCCTAATAATAAAGTATCTCCTAATTAATAGAGTTTAGGATGTTAAGAGTAGAGTGTGATTGTTTGAGATCTACCATCCATATATATTTATTGGAGATGGTATGTGAGACAAATGTGCAAGATCTATAACTCTTGTTAATTACCTAATTAATTACTCCAAATTAAGCTTAAGCAATGTCAATTCAAACAATTTGCTTGACAAAAATAGTTTCTTAAATTTTTAAAAAATAAAAAAAAGAACTCCTCGATATGGCACATATTTTTCTTTTTCCATAAAAAATATGATAATTACTTTTCTTGTTTTAAATGAAGAGAAATTTAGAAATGAAGTAAACGTTCTTGTTAAGTACTCGATACAAATATAAAATAGATATTAATACATAATTACCTAATCAATGTCAACCCAAAATTTTCACTTGTTTGTTGAAATTATTTAAATAAATTATATATTTTTTCTTGATAGAAAATACTTTGTTTTTCTTTTTTTGTGAATGAAGAGAAGTTAGAAATAATGTAGATTTAATTTTAAATTGTTTAATTAAATACATAATATAAATATAAGAAAAATGTTTCAATTAATATTTGATAGACTCGGTTTGATCTTTGTATAAAGTAAATTCGATTTTTTTTTTAATTTTTAAAATTTTAATATTGAACCTACTATTTGGACAACTTTAAAAGCTGGGGTCTTAAATTAAAGTAAAAAAAAAAAAAAGGAAAGGTAAATACGAACTTTAATTCTTCACCGTGTCAACGCGAGCGCTGCATGTCAGCTTTAATAGGGAGACTTGGATTCCCACGCCTAGGCATCTCCGTAGCTGTTACATCGTTGATCCCTCTCCCTTATTTCCAATTTTCTCCTTTTTGGTAGTTAACCAAGAAACAAAACCCGAAACGCCAGTTAGAAACCGAAATCTCCCAATCTAAATCCCACCTGGGAACTGCCCTTAATCTGAACTCCTCCAAAAACCCAGATCAAATCCTCAATCAGATTTCCACCATGGCAACACACCATCCATTAAAAGCGGTGACTTTAACCCATGTAAGGTATCAAAGAGGTGACCAACTAGGCCATTTCTTAGCCTGGGTTTCTTTAGTCCCCGTTTTCATTTCCCTTGGTGGCTTTGTTTCTCATTTTATCTTCCGTAGAGAGCTTCAAGGAATGTTCTTTGCGTTAGGCCTGATAGTATCTCAGTTCATTAATGAGCTCATAAAAAAATCTGTTCAACAAGCCAGGCCTGAAACTTGTGCTCTTTTAGAAATGTGTGATTCTCATGGTTGGCCTTCGAGTCACTCTCAGTACATGTTCTTTTTTGCAGTTTATTTCACCCTTTTAACTTGTAAAGGGATTGGTGGGATTTGGAATGTTAGAATCAAGTGGGCTGCTTTGTTTTTGCCTTGGTCTTTGGCTGTTTTGACAATGTATTCCAGGGTTTATTTGGGCTACCATACTGTCGCTCAGGTTTTTGCTGGAGCTGCTTTGGGGATTTTTCTTGGGGGGGTTTGGTTTTGGCTGGTGAATTCTAAGCTTTTCTGTTATTTTCCTCTCATTGAGGAGAGTGCCTTTGGGAGGTATTTTTATGCTAAGGATACTTCTCATATATCAGATGTCTTGAAGTTTGAGTATGATAATGCCAGGGCTGCTAGAAAAGGTATGGCTGCCAGAAAAGCTACGGCTTCCAAGAGCAGTTGATCAATAGGAACTCATCGGGTATGGAAGACTTTTATTATTCCTTTCTATTTTATGATCTTTTATTCTATTTGGGGAATTGAAAGCTTATTTTGTGATTTGAGATACTTTTGCTGTTGTTCCAGTTTGAAAATTCTTTCCTTAAATAATGCAGGGTAGGCTGTTTTTATCACATTTTATGAAGTAGGGATGCAATTTCGTAAATAATCTAGCATTTTTTATGTTAAATTGACAATAAAACATGCTTTCTCTGTTTTGGTAGGTCTGTAATCTTAATTATAGTCTCATTTTAATAAATACCATTCTAGTAGTGCTTTGCTTAGAGTGATTCACTCCTGTGTCTGTGTGTCATATAGAATAAAATCCCTTCTTCGCAAGAATATAGAATGCAGTAACCTCTGCTGTGTTTCATGGGCATTCCTTGTAATAAACTAAAAAATTCATGTCATCATAGATCATCAGATGTCACCAGTGATCCTGCTCTATCCTTTAAGCTTAAGGTCATTTCTCATCAGATACTAAGTGATCCCTTGCTTCTAATTAAATGTCAATCCAATTGGAAGTGAGTACCAACCACCAAGTGTATGCCTTTTGTTAAAAGGAGGTCTTTTTACTGCAAATTGCTTTGTTAGCTTTCAAATTATAAGTGAATACTGGTGTAGAAACAATCATGTTAGTTTTTACAAACAAGTGGCATAATGTTCTAGTCTAATTAAACTACAGTGGCTTTCTGAAGAAAGATTTTAGGATGTCTTGTATTTTTTGGTAATAAATTGTTTATTTGCTTTGAAAAGGGAAGTTATCAGGGCTGGTCAATAGACCTGGCTATGTTAAAGGTACCTGTGGTACGCTCACATGAGGAGTGTGATCTTTAGAAGGATGAAGCAATAAGAAGAATGTGAAACGATTATACTTATTGTGACAGGACATGATTAGCGGGATGACAAAAGAGAAGAGGTCTAGTGAATAGTTTCAGTTGGTGCAATAACTCAATTGTAGCCTATAGGAAAGGAGGAATTTTATATACGTTGAATGACTCTTAAAACTCCGTAGCAGGAAAATGGACTTTGGTTCTGAGAAAATTTCAGGTTAGCATTAGATACAGAAACTTGATTGTGGCATGGTAGCAAAAATGGCTTGTGTAGTTAGTTCTGGTGGTTTGGACGCTGTAACTATGCTGACATGAGGTTTAACTGTCATCTTCACGCATGATGACAATGTAGACTAATTTGTCTTCATAGTGCCCTTGAAATGTCTTCTGTTTGTGAAAAACAGAAGAATTATTTGCTTTGTGCTTACCACAGAGCTGGTTCTCACGCAAATGTATTTCAAGTATCATATTTTTTAATTTTTCCATCCTGTTGAGTTTCTGTGTTGAAGGTGCCTTGTTTTGACCAGTTCTTTGATGTTTCTGTAACTCCCTCTCTCACATTCTGTTTAAGTGATTTTTTATTCTAATACAGAATAGAGATTTGATATATCTTTGTAATGAAAGTGCTCTTCTTTCATTTTGCAGACCAGTATCTTCACCTCTGTGTTTCAAGATTCTGCTTCTATGCCTATAAATAATTCAATTATTAAGTGAATGCTGTTCTCATTATACGGCACTTTATGGATCATGTCCTATTAAAACTACTGCACAAGAAGCCAGATGAGACCATTGGTGTTGAGGATGCTGTATAACCATACATTAATAGCATGCTGCTGTTTTTTTTATTGTGGTGCCATAGTGAAAGAACCAACATATTGATCACACATCATTTCCTTATATTTTACTACATTTTGATTACAATCATTCTGTGTAACAGGTGCTAGCTTGCATCTAATGAAGATTTTCACTACATTTTATTTGCTATTGATGCTCAAAATATGGAGTTTATTTCTATCTTTATTGAATTCACTACGGTTTTCTTGTTGAGCTTGGCATGTTGAAATCTGAATATTAGGGTTGTTTGTTTATTATTCAATTAAACTATTGTTAAATGCTCATCTTCAGGGAAATGAGGTAGTTATGTTCTTTTGGACTTTCATATAACCCGGTGTCCCTTGCTGTTGACGTGTAGCCACGTTTGTGTCATATTCCTGTATGTGTCCAGCAAAAACTTTATGTAGGATATCATATTTGAAGTCATGAGATAGGATTTTGGATTGACATTGTGATTTATAGTCAAAGTAAATGTATCAGTCTCCATTTTACGATGACAATGGACATTCTATTGTCTACGTATAAGCTTTCCCTTCAAATCCTGACAAGTGAGAAAGTTTCCTAAAACACCTTTGCCTTTCATCTTCGGCCATTTGGGTATCTTTGTCTTCTTTGGACATTGTACTTGTGCTTCCCTTGTCTTGTTTAATCCATATTTCTTGCACTAACCATTAGTAGTATTTCTTAAGCAGTATTAGTTATTACAGCAAGTATTACCAAGAATGTAGCGTCTCCCCTGGATATTTACAGAAACTATCAACAAAATAGGGAAACAGTGTGCTGGTTATTCTTTGTTAACAACTTCCCATAAAAGTTGTAGTAGCATTTTCTACAGGGTAGCTGAGTCTCGGAGGTTGGTGCATGAACTTCTAATTATATTTTCATTTTAGTCCTCAAAATCTTTTTTATTATATTTAGTTCCCAATCATTTGAAGGCCATTAAAACTGAATCTTATTCTAAAAAGGTTTTCGTTTAACTAGTGAATGGTAAGTTTAAATTAGTTTGAAGTATTGTTAAGATTAAGTATCATTTATGCTTTTTTCTTTTCTAGATATTTACTATTTCGTATCAATGAGTCTACTCTCTTTAGCATTTAAGTCAGTATAATATATCAAAAATGACATTATGGTGTTTGTCTAAAGAGATTAACTCCTAATTTCATTAAAAAAAATTGATTATTGATGTCACAAGTCATTCGGGGAACCACAGAGAAACAACGAAACAAAGCCTCAAAGTACTTAGTACTAAATCGCAACAATCAAAAAGTTTCAAGTATAATGTTAAAACTTTAATAGTTACAAAGTACGTAAGTGCAAAAACTTTATAAAAAAAAATGTTAAAGTGCAAATATCTATAAAGTAATTTATCATGTTCTTACCGTTCGTGATTAATTGAACATTAAAATCGAAAAAAAATAACATTTATTCAAACTTTACAAGGCAATATTATTAAATTTTTTTGTTTTCTTTATATTTCCCTCTCTAACAAAGGATTTGGCCTAAAGGAAGATTCAACTGGGAAAGGATTTTTTATAAAAGAAAATCCTATTAACAAAGATATCTTTAAAAAAGGAAAAGGAAAAATTAAGAAAACAGAGAGACAGACATAAACCGAGGTAGGGTTTTATTCTAAAGACATAAACTAAAACCCTGGTTGGGTTCTAACTGTCGAGTTCACTGCCCCTCATTTTAGGTTCTTCCTTTTGTCTCTCTCTGTCTCTGTGTCTTCTCTGATTTGTTTCTTCTCTTCAATTAATTATCTGAACGGAACAAATTTCTTTCCTGGGTTTGGGTTCTTTTTGCAGGTAATTGAGAATGGCTGGGGTAAGAGAGATAACTGCGGCAGAGTTCCTGCATGTAAGTTTTTGTTATGTTCTAATCGCTGCTCGGTTACTGAGAAAGTGTGTGAATATGATATTCCACATTTGCGTTTTCCTTTGGTTAGCTACGATACGAAAAGGGTTGTGATGTTTCTTTGATTTTCTTATAAAACAAATGAAAACTATGATTTGGAGTTCTTATTTTTTATACTAATTGGTGCAGCCACAAATTATTGATTCAAATTGTTAACTTTCTTCTTGCTTTTTCTTTTTGCATTCAGGGTACAACTAGGCAAACTCTGTTTTTACAGAGAAATCTTTCGATTAAGCGAGGTAATTTATTATGGGGCAAGCTCTGTAATCCAAGCCGGATGGGGTATATGTTTAATACAAAAGGTGTTTCTTTGAGGTGCTCTGCTAAATCAAAGCCTAGAGCGACAGCCTCTGGAAATGTCCGTACCAGTTTGGTTGATGAGCAACCTGGATTGATTGAAAAGCCCGCTCAAGAGGTCATACATTTTTACCGTGTTCCGTTGATACAAGAAAGTGCAAACGATGAGCTTCTCAAATCGGTTCAAAGCAAAGTTTCGAATCAGATTGTTGGGCTGAAAACTGAGCAGTGTTTTAATATCGGGCTTGATTCAAATATTTCCAGTGAAAAGCTCTCCACGCTTAAATGGATTCTTGGGGAGACATATGAGCCTGAGAATTTGGCAACTGAGAGTTTTCTTGAGAAGAAGAGGCAAGAAGGGGTGAATACAGCTATAGTTGAAGTTGGGCCTAGGTTGTCTTTTACAACAGCGTGGTCCTCAAACGCTGTTTCAATTTGTCAGTCCTGTGGCTTGACTGAGGTGACTCGAATGGAGAGGTCTAGAAGGTACTTGTTGTATAGTAAGGGAGTCTTGCAGGAGCATCAAATTAATGAGTTTGCTGCAATGGTTCATGATCGGATGACACAGTGTGTTTATAGTCAGAAGCTCACATCATTTGAAACCAGTGTGGTTCCAGAGGAGGTTCGTTTTGTGCCTGTCATTGAGAAGGGAAGGAAAGCATTAGAAGAAATTAATCAGAAAATGGGTTTAGCATTTGATGAGCAAGATTTACAGTACTATACCAGGCTTTTCATGGAGGACATTAAGCGTAATCCAACAAATGTAGAGTTATTTGATATCGCCCAATCGAACAGTGAGCACAGCAGGCACTGGTTTTTCACAGGGAAGATTGTTATCGATGGACAGCCCATGGATAGGACCCTCATGCAAATTGTGAAGAGCACTTTGAAAGCAAATCCAAACAATTCTGTCATTGGCTTTAAGGATAACTCAAGTGCAATAAAGGGGTTCCTTGCTTATCAATTGCGACCAGTTAAGCCTGGAACAGCTTGCCCACTAAATGAAACAACTCGTGAAATTGATGTCTTGTTTACAGCTGAAACACATAATTTCCCATGTGCAGTGGCACCCTATCCTGGTGCAGAGACAGGTGCAGGTGGTCGCATTAGGGATACACATGCTACAGGAAGGGGGTCTTTTGTTATTGCAGCCACAGCTGGTTACACAACCGGGAATCTTAATTTAGAGGGATCTTATGCGCCATGGGAAGACTCATCTTTCTCATATCCATCAAATTTGGCATCTCCTTTGGAAATACTTATTGAGGCTAGCAATGGTGCATCAGATTATGGTAACAAATTTGGTGAACCTTTGATTCAGGGTTTCACTAGAACTTTTGGAATGAGACTCCCTAGTGGTGAGCGACGTGAATGGTTGAAACCTATCATGTTCAGTGCAGGCATTGGACAGATTGATCACACTCATATATCGAAAGGGGACCCTGAGATTGAAATGTTAGTTGTAAAGATTGGTGGTCCTGCATATCGAATTGGAATGGGTGGTGGAGCTGCGTCCAGTATGGTTAGTGGCCAGAATGATGCAGAACTTGATTTTAATGCCGTACAACGTGGAGATGCTGAAATGGCACAAAAATTGTATCGTGTAGTTCGTGCCTGTGTTGAGATGGGGGAGGATAACCCAATCATTAGCATTCATGATCAGGGAGCTGGTGGGAATTGCAATGTTGTCAAGGAAATAATATACCCAAAGGGTGCTGAGATTGATATTCGGGCAATTGTTGTTGGAGATCACACGATGTCTGTATTGGAGATATGGGGTGCAGAGTATCAAGAACAGGATGCAATCTTGGTGAAGCCTGAAAGCCACAACCTATTGGAATCAATCTGTGCAAGAGAAAGACTTTCAATGGCTGTTATTGGAACTATTAATGGTGAGGGACGTGTTGTTCTAGTTGATAGCTTAGCAAATGAAAAATGCCGTGCAAGTGGACTCCCTCCCCCTCCTCCTGCAGTTGATCTAGAGCTTGAGAAAGTGCTTGGGGACATGCCTCAAAAAAGCTTTGAATTCAAGAGGGTAGCTTATGCTCGAGAGCCACTTGATGTTGCTCCTGGAATCACAGTCATGGATTCGTTGAAGAGGGTATTGAGACTACCATCTGTATGTTCCAAACGGTTTTTGACGACAAAAGTAGATAGATGTGTAACAGGTCTTGTAGCTCAACAGCAAACAGTTGGTCCCTTGCAATTACCTCTTTCTGATGTTGCGGTCATTGCTCAAAGTTATGTTGACTTTACTGGAGGTGCTTGTGCTATTGGAGAGCAGCCAATCAAGGGGCTGCTTGATCCAAAAGCAATGGCTAGACTGGCTGTTGGAGAAGCTCTCACAAATCTTGTTTGGGCAAAGGTTACTTCTCTGTCTGATGTTAAAGCAAGTGGAAATTGGATGTATGCTGCCAAGCTTGAGGGGGAAGGAGCAGCCATGTATGACGCTGCTATTGCTCTTTCAGAAGCTATGATTGAACTTGGTATAGCTATTGATGGTGGGAAGGACAGTCTTTCCATGGCTGCCCATGCAGGTGGTGAGGTTGTTAAGGCTCCTGGCAATCTCGTAATTAGTGCTTATGTCACTTGTCCTGACATAACTAAAACAGTAACTCCAGATTTGAAGTTCGGAGATGATGGTGTTTTGCTTCATATTGATTTGGCAAAGGGAAAGCGACGTTTGGGTGGATCCGCTCTAGCTCAGGTTTTTGATCAAATTGGGAATGACTGCCCTGATCTTGATGATGTTTCTTATCTTAAAAGAGTTTTTGAGGGTGTGCAGGACCTTCTTGGAGATGGTATGATCTCTGCAGGTCATGATATCAGTGATGGTGGGTTACTCGTTTGTGCCCTGGAGATGGCATTTGCTGGAAATTGTGGCATTGTATTGGACTTGGCTTCTCAAGGGAAGAGTGTTTTCCAATCACTTTTTGCGGAAGAGCTTGGTCTTATTCTTGAGGTAAGCAAGAACAACTTGAATAGTGTGATGAGGAAGCTCAGCAGTATGGATGTTTCTGCTGAGTTAATAGGACAAGTAACCACCTTGCCCATGATAGAGCTAAAGGTTGACGGAATTACTCATTTAAATGAGAAAACTTCTCTCCTCAGAGATATGTGGGAGGACACAAGTTTCCAGCTCGAAAAGTTGCAGAGGCTGGCTTCTTGTGTGGAATTGGAGAAAGAAGGTTTGAAGTTTAGGCATGAGCCTTCTTGGGCATTGTCTTTCACACCTTCCTTTACAGATGAGAAATACATGACTGCAACTTTAAAACCAAAAGTAGCTATCATTCGTGAGGAAGGAAGCAACGGAGACAGAGAAATGTCGGCAGCATTTTTTGCTGCTGGTTTTGAGCCTTGGGATGTAACAATGTCAGACCTTCTTAATGGAGCTATTTCTTTGCACGATTTCCGTGGAATTGCATTTGTTGGAGGTTTTAGTTATGCTGACGTGCTTGATTCTGCAAAAGGTTGGGCTGCGTCCATAAAATTCAATCAGCCTCTTCTCAATCAATTTCAGGAGTTCTACAAGCGCCCTGACACTTTCAGTCTTGGTGTTTGCAATGGATGTCAGTTAATGGCTCTGTTAGGGTGGGTCCCAGGCCCCCAAGTTGGTGGTGTTTTTGGTGCTGGTGGGGACCCCTCGCAGCCAAGGTTTGTTCACAATGAGTCTGGACGGTTTGAATGCCGCTTCACAAGTGTGACTATAAAGGATTCTCCTGCTATGATGTTCAAGGGAATGGAAGGCAGTACATTAGGTGTATGGGCTGCCCATGGTGAGGGAAGAGCATATTTTCCTGATGAAGGTGTTCTGGATCGTGTACTGCATTCAGATTTGGCTCCATTAAGGTATTGTGACGATGATGGGAATCCAACAGAGGCTTACCCCTTCAATTTGAATGGTTCTCCTTTAGCAGTGGCAGCAATTTGTTCTCCTGATGGTCGACATATAGCCATGATGCCTCATCCAGAACGCTGTTTCCTGATGTGGCAGTACCCTTGGTACCCAAAGGACTGGAATGTGGACAAGAAAGGCCCTAGCCCCTGGTTACGGATGTTTCAAAATGCCAGAGAGTGGTGCTCATGAGTTTGGTTAGTTTTCCATTTATTTTACTAACCAAATGAATGCATAATTTATATCCAGCATTTTTTATGTGAAAATGAGAGAAAGCATCATCTATACGTGTGTCTTGGATGAAATCGTGTGATCTTAACTTATGCTGCATGATGTTGGGTTTTCATCAAAAAAAAAAAATCATATTGTAAGTGTAAAATTTCAGAATTTATGTAGTTAAAAAAAAAAGAGAGATTTCCTCCAATTTTAGTTGTGTGGTTATGGCTCTTTTGATGTTTGTGGTTGGTTCTTTGCTGCTGGCTGTGTTTGTCCCTGCCCTGGCCATGCTCTCGGTTCTGCTGCTGGGTGCTTTTGGGTTGGCATCTAGGATTTGGATTTGGCCATTGAGTCTGGGGTTTTTTCACTGTGGATTGGTTTCTTTGGTGGTCTTGCTTTGTATGGTCATGTACATCTTCTTTTGTTCATTGCCATCTGGGCTAGTGAAAAGTGCAGAAAGTATAGGTTGATGCTCGGTGATAATTTCTGCTCTATTTTAGGGGCAGTTAGTTTTGTTCTGCTCCTTGAAGGAATATTGGGGGTATGCTTGTCTCTTATGTAAAGGTATATCATCCAATACCTCTGTGAGTTGATTTTGTCTCTTTTGTTTCTGATGGAGGGAACTTTTTCATTCCCCAAAGTTTAATGAAAGCCACTTGATAACTTTCAAACAAAAAAAAAACATTTATATAAATTCACTTTTTCTATGGCAGGTTATTGAGATGCAAGGACAAATGAGAGGAAGTATAGTGGTCGGATGCTTCATTTGAGTTCGATTTGGAGATTTAGCTGTTATCCCGAAATGTCATGAGGACATTTGGAAAACGTCGCTTAATTTTTGCTTCATGCTGACTGATTACATAGCTGTTTCTTTATATTTCTTCATCATCTTAAGTTTCCAACAGAGCTGGTTCTTTATATTTGTTCATCATCTCAAGTTTCCAGCTGTGGAGGTGCTTATTTGCCCTATTTGGGCAAACTTTCTTCAGTGTGTTTCAGCTCTCTCTCATAGCTATGACAATTGTCCTTTTTAAATTGTATTATATCATAAATATTTTGGGAGCTAATACATCTTCATAAATGTGAACTATAACTATCTTATTTCTTTTGTGGAAGTTTCCATAGCCAATAGTTTCAATTGGAGACTGCATTTGGACATGAACTATATAACAGTTGTGAAAAAAGGTTGGCATACAGACAGACAAAAACGAAGTTGAAAGTGACCTGCAGAACACAAGGTTATGCATATAAATGTCAAAATGGTTTTGAAATTCAAATGGTAATAGACTGGTTTGGCATTTCCTTTAAAACCATTTTATATTCCCAGAAGCCTACTAAATTTGATTTCAGACTTCCTTTTATTCCACTTTAAGGGATTATGCCAGAGGTGAGTTCTTTGGTAGAAAAATCTTCAGCATATCTCACAAAACCATTGTGAAAAGAATAAACATGACATATAATTAAATTTTATTAGGAAAGATCTTTGTTATGGTTTTATAGTTATATTAAAGTTAAATTCAATTATTACTCCTACTATATATGTCTTTGAAAAAAATATTTTACAGCTTAAAATTAACTTTTTTGGTTAAAAATTTAAGCTGTCCAATCAGACAGAAATGGTAATACAACTGTGTAATGACCAAATAGTGATTTTACAATAAATAAAGGAAATGGGGAGCCGAAAAATGGTCCAAATTTGGAAAATGGAGCAAAGCGGGAAACACGTGTCCGAAAATAAAGAAAGTTAGGAAATTGCCACTGCCACCTGCGTCTCGCTCTTCACTCTCTTCTCTCATTCTCTCTACTCTCTTTGATGCATTAATCTCTCCATCTCTCTCTTATTCTCTAACAAAAGTTATGCCTTTCCTCTCCCTTTGATCTCAAATGTGGCAAATTCTCTTAGGCGCGGCTGTTGCAGGATCCACCGGACTCCTTGCTAAACACCTCTTTAACCCCAACAACCCCATTTCTCAAGGTAACCCAAATTCCGATAATGATCAAGAAAAACTAGATCTTCAGTTCCAAAATGGGTTTTTAGAATCTGGGTGTGAGAGTAATGGAGAGGACAAAGGGAAGCAAGATGGGATCTTTAGATTTTCCAGTTCTGAGTCTGCTGGAAAAACTGGGCTTAAAACCAAGGATAGGAATTTGAGGAAAAAAGTTGTCTTGAAGAAGGCTGAGAAAAGATCAAGTGGAGCTGATGGTGTAGAGGTGAGTAGAAGGAAGTTTGCTGTTTGGTCGAAGAAGAGGAGAACTGGTATGAATGTGGCTTATAAGTGTGGATCACGCCCTTCCAAAGGTATGGTTCCTGTTTGTATTATGATCTTTTTCAATTTTGGTTTGCTGAGAAATTGCTGGAGTTGTGTTTGATCAGTTAGGCATCAAAACGTTGGAATTTTTGCATAACTTGAAGTTGTTAATTACCAAGCTCTGACACCAAAAGCAAGAAAAAGTTGAACTTACTTCTCCAAGTACCGTCTTTTTGTGCATTCTATGAAATTGGCTTAAACGAGTAGCTAGAGGGTATGCTCTAGATTGTTGATGGAATACTTTTTCTAGTCAAGTTATCATTTTGTAACATATATTTGATGCAGTATATACCTTTATTCCCCGATTTTGTCATCTACTAAGAAACTGAAAGCAGGATTCTAGTTTTCACTGTAATCTTCCTAAGTTCTTGCGAATGCCAGAGATGGAACAGTGAAGGACAATATGTTTATGTAATGCCAAGCCAAAATATTAACCTTTTGTGGTATACATATCTTGCCAACATGGCTCTAGAATCAATAGCTTTCTCACAATCACTTCATTCTCGAGGTGAGGAAAAAGAGGGGTGCTGGTGGGGTGAGCTTTAAGAATATTTGATTAAAAAATTATTCTCATGGTGAAGAAATTCCTGACTTAATATAATAGAAAGTGATGAAAAGTACCTTTCAAAAAAAAAAAAAAGAAAGTGATGAAAAGTAATTTTTTTCAAAAAGATTGTGTACAGTGCCATGTCTCTATGTCAAGATATTCTGAGGCATCTCCATTTACATTTTCTGTGTACTAGTTTTATATACAAAATTTCTTCAATGCAACAAGGATTTTAAATTACTTCAATTACAAGTGCTATGCTTTGGTCTCAAATCAGGTCAAGTTGTCAACTGTTAATTTGTTCTGATCATCCTTAGATTAAAGGTTAATGACTATTAGTTAAGTAAAAAGGAGCTGTTGTGACATCAGACTGCTTTATTTCACTCTGTAAGAAAGCATGTGTCTTCCTAATAGGTAACACATCAAACTATCAACAAGGAATCATTGGTTAGTTAGATATCAACAGCCTCACTGCTAGTTTGGAAAAAAAAAATTTAGAACCTCTGATAATTATTAATGTGCTAGCGGGATTTGTAATTTTTTCCTATTTACAAGAGCTTCGAAAAATTCGATTGTCTTTCCAGGGACTGTACATCTGCGTTGGCTTTGTTAGTTCGGGTTGCATCAGTGTAGTTGTCCCGTTTTAGGGTTTTTGCTTTAAACATATTTAAAGCTCTGAGTTTGACATTTCAATTTACTTTGTATTTTACTCCTTAGATGGCTCTGTGTTTCGTTGGGGACTTGGCTTTGGCATCATGTACATGATGTCAGCTGGCAAGGCTGAGATCAATAGGCTGAACTCAACAATGGATGAGACTGCAAAAGTCGTTCAGGAGTTAAAAACTGAGCTATGCAAAAGAAAATCATCTTGCAATGTACAAGCTTCGAATTCTGCAAATGAAGTTGCTACAGGGTCAAAGAAATCTAGCGGCAAGAATACACAAGTACTGCTTGATAAGTCAGGTACAGGGAACAGAGACCATAATGAGATCAAAGTATGTAGCGTCCCGGTAATTGATGATGGTGAGTATGCCAGTAGTGTTCTTACTGAAGAGCCAGAACCAGAGGTAGAGGTGGGGGAAATGGATCAGCTAGAGGCAGAGCTCGAGTCAGAACTGCAAAAATTGAGTGAGGTGAACTTTATCAAGTACCTTTACATCCTTATTTCAATTGACTTACCAGTTAAAGGTGCTTGTGTAGTAGTTTATCTTATACCTCCTCCCACACTAAAGATTCAGGACAAGTTATTCAAAATTAGCTTTTGAATAAAGGTATATTTTTGTCTCTTGATACAACATTTCTCTTGCTGATACTATTAAATTTATCACAAAAAAAGAGACTTTGGGGACCATTTTAAGAGGTGATTCTTTTCAATGAACAGCTATAGCTGACCAAATTTAAGCATTAACTGTTTTATTCTGTTACTGATCAAGGAGTAAGATGCACATTGAATAAGTTATTAGCTTTCCTTGGTGAAAAGAATATTTTTATGGCTTCTAGCTTGGTTGCTTGATGCTAACACTGGCTAATAATTAGTACTTGGCAAGTACTGAGACTTTAGCTAATGTAATCAGTCTTCAAAAGTGAATCATGCTAAGAATGCACACAGCAGTCTTCATGAATAAGAATATTTTGGGTATGGAATAGGAATTCCTACATTCTATTATTAAGCCATACCTGGGGGAACTGAAAAACATGTGACCAGATTGTTTACCAGATAAGCAGTTTCTGATCTCGTATTACTAGTTGGAGAAATTTGATAACTTTGGCCACTGGCTAGACCTTAAAGACAGAGGATATGCCAATTTGTGAGGTTAGAATACAGAGGAATAGTGCCTGATGAATTATTATAATTGCATCAGAAACATGGAAACTATGTAAATGCATCTGCAATGAGTGTATTTTTGCTGCTATGGTTCTAACAACTCTGCATCTTCTTAGACTTGACAAAATTTTTGCTATTAACTTGAGAAATCGTTTGCAGACTGAGGTTTCAGCCAAAAGTCTGCATGAGTCGGTGGGACAGAGGTCTGATTCATACCAGTGCCAGGGAGTGTTGCCATCTGAACTAGATCAGAAGCTGTGCCATTTGCTAATTGAGCAGCAGGAAAACCAAATTGAGGAGCTAGAATCTGAATTGAGTTTGGCTCAATCCAAACTCCGTGAGAAGGAAGCTGAACTCCAAGCACTAAAGGATTGTGTTAGGGGCCTGGCTAACTTCTCTCTATCAACAGTCTCAGGTAAAGACTTCTTACTTCGACCATCTTATAGCTATGTTTTAGAAATCAGTTTCTTTATAGGGCTACCAGTCTACCACTAACCATAATATGCTCATTCTCAATTATGTTATATACTGTGGTGTCTATCTTTACTACTAATGCAATATTTCTCAGATGATAACGAGACCCAAGGGGAGCAAGCAAGTATGAACGATCAGGATTGCCCTATTAAAAGTGGATTGGAGACAAGGAAATCATTGGTTGGTATGAAAAGACCTATTGAGTCCTGAGTGCAACTGATATGCATGATTACCATATTTCCCAGGGGCAAGACCTAGAAGGAAATTGATAGGCAATCATCAGATGCCATCACAAAACAATACCAGTTGTAGGTCACACCATTCTAAAATCTAGCTTGCATATTCCCTGTGTATCTCCTGGACCCTTCCATATTATAATACTGTAGTATCAGAAATCTAGACATGGTAATCTGTTTATTGAGTTCTGCCTGTCTGATTATTTTATTACGATGTGCTTGTATTTTTTATGCCTAGTGTCTGGAGCCGAACTCTCTTCACCAAGTGATTCCTAATTGACTTAGCTAGCTTGCCTGCTTCTCGGTCAAGCTCTTTCTTGAGTGCCAGAGTGGAAACCTGAAATCATAGTTGACTTTTTGTTTTCTTGTTGGGGGAGAATATTACTCTTATGTCCATTACATTTGCGAAATTACGAAATACTCCTTCACAAAACTATAAAACGTTGGTTGGAGTGCACTGAAGGGTAAAGCTGGAAGCAAGCAATTGTAGACGATTTGTAGTGCTATGGTGGTTGGTCGTGCAGAGGCAGATAAAAAGATTGGTGGAGCCCTGGTGGGGGTGTTGAAAAGATCACCTGTTCTTCACCGGAAGACTTCCAACTTGCGCTTTCTTATTTGACTTGACAGCGATAGACTTTCATAATAGTAGGCGCCATTCAAGGGCAGACAAAGAACACTCAGGGCCGGCCTTTTTACAGTCTCCCATGATTTCCAAAAGCTTACAAACTAAGACATTGAATCTTGAGGCTTATATAAAAGGATAATGATTGACCCACTTTCATCTCACTTTTACTCGTAAGAGCTCACTCCCAGTCCATTCGATATCTTTAGTGATATTTTTGTGGTTGAAAATAAGAGACGGGAGAAAGAGTAGGAAACGTGAAGATCCAAGTTTAATAAAAGAAAGTTTCTTTGGCATATACCTTATACCTTATACTATTAAGTAACATATGCAAGTGCAGGTGTTCTGTTCAGGACATAGACCTAATTACTGCTAGACGAACTGAAGAATGACTCAATGTGACTGTCGTGCTAAGGTATGCAAACACCAAAAAAAAAATTTAAAAAAAAAAACTCTTCAAAAATAAGTAGAATGTCTGATAGTTAGCACATCAGTGTTAGAAATCTGATGTAATGGTTCACTCAAGGATGTCAAAGTGCCAATGTTGGTACTAGGGATCTAAAAAGAACAGATGAGCATTGATTCAACCATTTATTATTTCTTATATTAGTTACTGTACAGATTACAGAATCTACAGGATTTTTTAATTTTTTTTAACTATTTGTAAACTAACCCATGGAAGGGAAAAAACAAGATTAAAATAAGTAAACAAATTCATTCTGATAAATGAATGAGAAATCCAGATGCAGCAGACAATTTAATACTAGTACTACTAGCTGGTAGAACTAAAACCTTTTTATATTTTTTAAAGCTTCGAGCAAGTGTAAATTACTCCAAGGTGGGGGCTCCAATTCCTTTTTCATCATTTGTTGTTGAAAAGCAAATGGAAAATAGAAAATGGATTGAGCCAAAGAAATCAGTTCGTTTGGTAATGATGTTTGCCTTAAAAAAGATGCATCAATCACCATCCAATCATGAATGCTTGTGTGACTGAGTGGACAACCCTCCTCCCTTATCCTGCAAACCATCTTTCCGAACAACAAACCTTAGAATATGTTGCCACACTGAACCAAGATCCAACGGTTATCACTGCACCGATATAAATTGTACTGTAGATGAATCTGTGTTTCTGTGTTCTGCTGTTTTCCTGCTTCCCCTCCATTATTTTACAGGTTTTGTTTTAGTATAATAATAACTGACCTCGAAGGCCAGGCCCGTTTAAGCCAAACAGAACCCTACAACCTAACACAAAGAAAATAGAAAAATTTTAAATAATTTACAGTGGATTCACCCAACCGTGCAATAGATTAAAAAGGATCAAACAACACAAAAAGATAAAAACAAAACAAAGCGAAAATAGAGAGAAAACAAAGAAGGAAGGTGACCACTATATCTACTTCAGTTTCTTACCAGAACCAAAGACAGCCATCCCCAAGAGTCCTCACACGCAAAAACCCACATGCTTTTAGAGAAAGACAAATAACCAAAGTACAAATCTTTTCAATCTGCAAACTCAGAGAGAAAAAAGAAACCATACATACAAAATCTTCGTGTAGATAGAGACTCTACAAAAAAGCAGAAATCTTGCAATCTTCAAAGAGAAAGAAAAGAGGGGTGTTTTTTTTTCTTTGTTTGGTTTGGAAAATGAAGTTATCGGCAAAACCCATATCCAGTCCGGGTCGGGCTGAGAAGTATCCGCCACCATTGATGAGGTTTTTGAGAAGCAATGTTGGGAGCAGAAGCAGGGGAAGGTCACGTTCAAGTCCAATGTTTGTTAGAAAAAAGAACACTGCCATTGAAACCCAAGAGCCTTCTTCGCCTAAAGTCACTTGCATGGGTCAGGTTCGTGTCAAACGCTCCAAACAAGCCGGTACAAAACCCGGTCGACCCGGACCCCCGACTCGTCGCCGCAACCGCTGTAAATGGATCAGAAATGTTCTGTTTTGCCATCATTTCGCTGGGAAAGCCAAGGCCAAGCCCTCTTTTAGACCCACTTGGAAGAAATGGGGGCCGTTTTTCCAAATGGGTTCCTGCAGAAAATCCAAAACTAGAGAAGATTCATCGAAATTTGGGAACAAAATTGAAGATTCTGTGGAAGGAAATGAAGAAGAGGAAAGTGAAAAAAATGAAAAGGAAGCTAAGATTTTTGTATCTTCTTCCTGTTCATCACCCCCCAAAAATGCTTTGATTTTAACACGTTGTCGGTCCGCTCCGTACAGATCTTCTTCTTTAGCTTGTAGGTTTTGGGGGTCACCTTTAGCTAACCAGGAGACAAGAGAAGAAGAAACAGAGGAAACAGAAGAAGAAAACAGAGAAAACAGAGGACTTAAAAAAGAAGAAGAGGATCCCACATCCGAAAAATTGTCCATTTGCAGAAATTCGGATCACGGGTCCCAAATGGATTCGGAAAAACTAGAGAAGTCGGGTTTTTGCAAGGAATTTGAAGAGAGCAAAACAGAAAAACCTGAAAACAATGAAGAGTTGAAAACAGAGCAGTTTGGGAATGTACGGCCTCTAATCCTCACGAGATGTAAATCCGAACCGGCTAGAACAGCTGAAAGACTTGATCCTGAGATGAGTTTCTGGAAGAAGAGAAGGTTGGGTTTCACGTGATTCGTTTAATTTTCTTCTTCGTTTAATTAATTTATGAATATTATTGGTTATCTTAGGAAGAAGCACTGCTTTTTTCTTTCCGACTTAAATGACTTTGTTATATTCAACATCTAGGGCTGTTAGAGAGAATCTCTATGGCTCTTAGGTAATATTAAAAAACCAAAAAAGAGAAGGGCTTGGGTAATAGTACACTGGAAATTGAAAACAATGATAAAATTTATTTAGCGTTAATTTTTTTTCCTAAAACTTCCTCATGGGCTACCGTCTTTAATGGTGTTGGCAAATCTTTCTTTTTTCTCTCTGTTATTATCTTTTGATAGGCAGAAGTGTTCTCTGCTTCTGGTTCCAGCCAGGGCTTTTCTGGGGGGTTTTATGGTACTTTGATTAGTTTTATGCATCTTTGGATACTCTGACCAGCTTTTACATTTTTGGTAGAAAAGCTTATGCAGTGTTCTGGCCCCGCAGTTTCATTATTTAATGTAATTCTTAATGACTTTTTTAGCAACAGGAAGAAAGTTCAAATTGAATGTCTCCATCCCCTGTCAATTTTTGGTTTAAGGATTTTTTATATTATGGGCCTGTTAAGATCTGTTACTTGATTGGAAAGCTTAGTCAAGAGGATTATTTTTCAATGTTTTTTTGTGAGAAAGCTACCTTGGCAATTGGCAGCTTGTTTGCCATACTAATTGAAGGAAAATGGGATCAGTCATTCGTTTCACATTTGGATAAGAAACTTGAGGATGGAAAATTTTCTAATTCTGCAAAAGAATAATTTGAAAAACTGTTTGGTTGTATCCAAAGTGGAAAAGATTGGTTATGATGGAACTGAATCCTGATTTGAAACCTAGGTTTTGGACATATGTATCATACACAACAAACTGTCTAAACAAAAAGATAAAGAAAAAATGGAGAGGGAAAGCCTGGATCCCTCCCTCCTTTGCCATTTATTCCAGTTGTCACATCTCAGGCTTTTAAGGGCTTTAGATGGAGCTAGGGAAGGCTTCAGTTAAGAGTTTAGGCTGTTATTCGTTGAGTTTTCAGCTCGGGTTTATAGCTGCGAAGTATAGTACATTAGTAATAAAACTTCATCGGTACCAGGCAAAGCCCCAGACCTATACGAACGTCTCTTCAGATACTGCCATGGATGGAAGGAAAAATCCAAGCCATTGATCTACGTAAACCATGATTATTTACTTCTAATTAGTGATTTGTGATACAATATGCCTGAAATTTTTATGAAACCTTACAAAATCTTCATCGTCCTTAGTTTGTGCCTGCCATGATTGAATATATTAACTTCATGCCAAATGTTGGGCTATCAGGCAAAATTATTGCCCCAAATTCCTGACTCCAAGGCAGATTTCGAACACGCTCACATGCAGAGTTGAGAATCAAGTTATGATCCAACGCTGCTGTATCCTGCCCTAGGATTTTGTTTGGTACCTAAGGTCAACCGCTAGATTGCAAAAGATCAAACTAGAGTCAGTCCAGCAGTTGTTTTCCTGTTTATGTAAAGCAAAAACCTTACGTTTGGATACAGTTTTTCTGCTCAAATGAATGCCATGCCTAAGGTCAACCACTAGATTGAGAAAGAGCTGTGTATAACAGAACCTTATGGCTTTGGTTTGGATACATATTTCATGCTCAAACAAACGCCAAAAAGCATTGGGGAAAGCAACACTATCCACTGCCCTAGTGCCTTCGGTTCACAGAAAGAAAGCTTTTTCTAGTTTGCAGCTAAAGTACAAGGTTATGATACAGAGATCAAAGCAAAGGCCAAAAAGATGAGTGTTACAAATCAATCAATTCAATGGACTGCCATGGCTATAATAACTTTCTTTTTGTCCAAGATGCTAATGATCCTTTAAACTAATATGATAATAAGTTTGTAAGAAGATGTACAAGGTCAGATGTAGATTCGCCAAGGCAGGTTGAGATGAAGGGTTCAAGTTGCTGTCCTGCAGTCTCATGGGACTGGGGCTGGGATCCAGCAACTTTAAAGCGTGCAGGTAAGGGCATCCTAGTATCATGCATTTGCCTTGGAAATCATACCCACTCCTATCCAGACACGGCATAGCTGTTTTACGATGGAGGCAACCAGATTACACCAGACACTCATTCAAGGAAATCATATAGGCATGTAATCTTGAAGAGACAACAAACAGGGACCATTGACAAGCATCCACTCGTTTCCCTTTGAATTGCCAAATCGAAATCTAAAATTATCTCCAACTCTCAACCAGCTTTTCACAATGAGTTGAAACTAATAGCATATTCCACTATTCAATAAACCTACTAAATTGGAAGAGATTGTATACATATATTCTAAACAAATTACTGATTATTTTTGATGCATTATAATTTTATTTTACTTGAAGAGTACAGGAGTTTTAAAGTACTTGGTTTTTTGTGCTTGTTTTCTTGACGAAGAGCAGGTGGGGATCATGCTTCATCTCCTCCTTATCCTTGCCTGATTGTCTGCTTCCCTTCAAGTAAATGCCATTTGTGCTTGCCATGTTAATTATTTATTTATATATATATATATATATATATAAACAGTATGTACAATTTTAATTGTTGCCTCACTTTCTCTCTCTATATAAAATGTAAAAAGCATCAATGTCTTTAGCAGTTGACCAATATTTTGCCAGTATTTATCATAGATATAAAAAGCATAGCTATCCCTTCCATATTCAAGCATATCCATCCATTCAATGCTTTGAACATATTAGGCCCACTAATAATTTCCTTAAAACCGATTTTCTCTTCATTAGACATTATGAACAAATTGATTTACACCCATTTTTCCTTTTTCTTTTTTATAAAGGAAAATTTTTTTAAAAAAAATCTTAAGAAAACAAGGTCTTGTCTTAATCTGTTGCCTGCATTGACTCTTTTATCCATAAGAGAGGGGCCACATTGTTTTGAGTCTATTTCAATCGTATTAACTCTTTTGTAAATAGTCTTGCATCAACGAAAAGTTGAATAAATCTTGATATCACTTATCACATATTTACATTTTTAATTTAACAAGTTTTCTTAAGTTTCCTGTCCTCCAATATAATCTTCAAGTGATTTTGAAGACATTTCCTTAGGGGCAATGCTGTTCTTAATATTCTTTTCATGTCTTTTTAACACTTTTCCTTTTTCATCAAAGTCTTAAATTTTAGTTCTTTTTCTTCTTAAAAGTTAGTATACTATTCAACAAGAAAAATTCATCAAAATACCTGAAAGGTCTCTGTACTTATGTGTTTTGTTCAATTAAGTCTTCCTACTCTAATATGAAACAATTTTAATTCCTCAATTTCAGAATTGCTCCAATTTAGCTCCTCCTCCTAACAACATCCAATTTAGCTATTAAATAGGATAAAGTCAATGTTAACATAGCACTAATATGACATATTTTTGCTTACATGGCAATGTAGGATAGCGACATGTTGAAGTGGCACTGCCATGACACCCTCACATGCTAATGAGGTAATGCCACATCATCTTTTTAAGTTAGGATTGTTGACGTGGATTGCCACGTCAGCATTAAGGCTCAAGTTGTTGACATGGCATATTCTTTTCATGTCTTCTTACACCTTTCCTTTTTCATAAAAGTCTTAAATTTTAGTTCTTTTTCTTCCTAAAAGTTAGTATAGTATTCAAGAAGAAAAATTGGTCAAAATACCTCGAAGGTCTCTATATCCATGTGCTTTATTCAATTTAATCTCTCTACTTCAATTTGAAGTAATTTAATTCTTCAATTTTAAAAATTACTTCAATTTAACCTTTCCCCTCTTAATGGTATCCAATTTAACTATTAAATAGGATGACGTTTATGCTAACATAGTATTGACGTGATATATTTTTGTTAACATGGCAGTATAGGGTAGCAACATGTTGATGTGGCATTGCCACGTCACCTTCACATGTTGACGTGGTAGTGCCACATCATCCTTTTACGGTCGAGTTGTTGACGTGGATTGCCACATCAATATTAAAACTCAAGTTGCTAATGTGACAATACCACATCAACATGTCGAAGGCAGGTGACATGTTAAGAGACTGTCACGTCACTCTCTTCTTCGAGTCCAGAACCTCTAGCAAGAACACTAAGTTCCTTACCATCATGCCTAAGTCATTTTAACAATTTTTACTTTTGTTTTTTTCTTCTTTATTTTTTTCCCTAACATTACTTCATTTTGGAAGCTTCTTACACTCTCCATATCCTTAGCTATAAAATAATCTTTTTCTCATTTTTTCCTTCTTTTTTCTCTTTCTACCTTTCTTTTTTTTTTCTCTCTCTCTCTCTCTCTCCTATATAGTTAGAGTTATCGAGAGTGTTAAAAAAACTCCAAAATAACTTAATTTTAGAGAAAAAATAAGAAAAAAAAGAGAAAAAAACAAATATAAAAATATATTAAAAGTAAGAACTTAGGCATGATAGTGAAGAGCTGAATCTTCTTGTTAGAGGTCTTAGGTTCACATAAATACAAGAACCTTTCAGGTATTTTGATGGGAACAATTTCATTGGAAAAGGTAAAGGTATCATGCTTAAAACCATACATCTCTTTTTGTCTACCGTTAACAAAGCCCATCAAATATCTGGGTTAAACCAACCTTAATGTTGAAAAACATGGTGGGGAATTCGCCGACTCCTTTCTAAGGTTCAAAGAACTTTGTTTTTCCCCACAAACAGAAATACATCACACCAAGGATTAATGTCCCCATGCCCAACTTTCACAACAAATGAAAAAAGCTAACAAAACCCCACCAATTTTTTTAAGACTAATACATTTTTTTCGGATTCAAAATTATCATTAATAAAATCGAGAATATACTCACTTGACAACTTTTTTTAAAAAATAAAATAAATAAATTGACTACTTAATTAATGAAAAAAGTTGCATGTGCAAATATAAATATTAATTTCCGTTACTATATTATACATGCTTTATTAGGTAATTAAATTATCAATAGAAGTTAGAGTATAACAAAGGAAACAAAAACAGAGAGAGTAGGTGTGAAGAATGTGAAATCCAGCCAACTAAAGGTCGACGGCATGGCATGTCCCTCGTTAGGACATTTCAATAATACACACATGGGAGCTGTCCCATGGCTCAATTAATAAAATAAAATAAATTCGAACAAAAAGGAATGGCATATGACTATAAGAAACTAAGAATAATAAAAGTAATCTAAATCTTTCTTTTGTAAAAATAAAAATGGTTTAGGTATGTGGCCTAGTTATGGTTCATAAATGTTCCAACCCAACACACAGCTATATCATCCTTCACAACTTATTGCTGTGTGGATGGTGACGGTTTCAATAGCCCAGAACCAGAAGAGAAAAGAGAAGAAAAATCCTCAACTGCTTTTTGCTCCTTGCTTCTTCCGTGAACCCCCACATCTTCCCTTTATAAATGAACAACCCTTTCACATCTTCTGCAGATAAACTTATCTCAGCAGTTTCCATGGAGCTAATCATCATCAAGGCTAGACCCATCTCCATTACTTTGCTGCTGCTTCTTCTCGTACTGTCGGTACCTTATTTTTCAACAGGTTTGTAGACTTCGTACTTCGGTTCTTTTTCCTATAATACGATGTCTGCTGTGGAATCTTTTCAATTAATTTTGGAGTGTTGGTTTTTTGTTAAGGGAGCTGGGATGTTTCGGACAGGGAGGTGTATGAGATAGATTATAGAGGTCCAGAGACACACTCTTCGATCCCTCCACCTGATCATTCTCATGGCCACAGGCATTGGATTCATCGGGAAACCGGTGCTGCAACACCCCACAAATCTTCCAAGGGCTTAAAGGGTGGTAATAGTAAAGGAAGAAATGTAAGTTTCCCACGCTAATCCATGAACATTAAGCAAACTTCACTTAACCAAATTGAGATGATTAAAATGAGAAAATTTTATTTTATTTTTTGTTTTGCAGGTCAGGAAAATTCATGGGTGATGAAGCAAAGCCTCTTTGAATGTTGAATTTTTGTTAAAATTGTAGTATAGTAGCTTATAGCTATTAGCTAGTTTTCTTCTCTTCTAGATATGGAAGATCATATGTGAAAATTGAGAAATGTTTTAAATTGGCAGTCTTCTCTTGCCATTATATAGCTTTATTTCATTATCATCAACCTTTTGTAAATGTGGATGGTGTGATTTTGTATCTGGATATTTCTATAGTTTTGAGTAAATGTAATATATTCCTCTCTCTTTGAAGCTTTGATTTCTTCCAAGCTTTTTTTCTTTTTTTTTTTTTATGGTCATAAATCAAGGAAAAGGCCCATTTCATTTCATCAGCCATGCCCATGTCTTTCTTGTGAGATCTGATTGCTTGAAGGGAAAGGGAAAGAAACAAATATGGTTCTGATTTTAGCAAAAAGTAGACCTCTGCCAAAACATATATATCTATCTTGGACTCAATCGTATATTAGTCAAACGAATGTTTTTGACCCATGTCAAATCGTGATTATGTTTTTTAAACAGAGCATAATAATTTAAAAAATTAAAAATATATTTTTTATTACAATTAATCAAATTTTTATAATTTTTATTTTAAATTAAATACATTTATATAATTAACAATTAACTAATTATCATTTACTATTTTTTATACTATATGATGTAAATATGAAAAGTGAAAATAACACGTCAATGACTATCATATTATATCAACATCTCACATCATCATTAATTATTATATATCAACGTATTACATTAAATAAATAAAAATTTATTTAATTTTTTTAATAGTTTGTGAGTTATTTTAAATATTATGGCCTTATATATCAACCAAAATGAGAGTATAAATCAATCTGTTGCAAAGAAAAAAATTATTTATTTAATTAAATTAATATAAGTGATTTTGAATTTATTGATGTATTAGAGAGAAGAATTTATGTCAAGGTCTCCATAATTGATAGCTGCGATGAACTGTTTTAGCTGAATTAATTAAATTAATTACACTTGGCTTAATTACATTAAATACAAAATTTATCACTTATAAATAAAAGAAGAGAATAATAACATTTGCTGGGGTCTGCTTTCTTTTATTTATTTCAATGAATAATTGTAATATTTCTCTATTTTTCCCTAAAATATTAATGAACAATTCCCTGGATGGTCTGGCACAATGTGTGTGCCATAAATATAAAGCATGGTCCGCTTTATAATTAAGTTTGAAAGAAACATGCATCTAAATTTTGAGGAAATAAGAGAAACCAAATTAAGGACTAGGGCCACCTTATCTCCTCCAAATTAATGCTATTCTCATCAATTCATCCCATATTTTTTTAATTTATAATTTTAAAAAAAAAATTATAAGCAAATAAAGTAACATATTCAAAATTGATCTATAACATTTTATAATACTAATTAAAAGTAGAACAAGTTAGTGTATTAAGCAAAATGAGTTTATTCTTTATCAAGTTATGATTTTCACTTGGTAAACTCTCATTCTAAAAAAGCTTTTTTATATATTTGTTTTTGAGCTAAGACTAGTGTAAGAACTCAATATTTTCATGTGATAGAAAATTTTTCAATATTTCTCATATCCGAAAGGAGAAAAAAAAATGTAAAAAGGGCTGTAAAATATTTTCGAGTCAACGAAATTAAACTTATTAATTTAGGGAAATTGTCTTACACCCTTTTGAGTATATAAGACAATTTCTCAAAAGCAGATCCTCGTCCCTCCCCTCCCTTCCCTTCCTTTCCCTAACCATCCCTTGACCCTTCTTTCTCTATCGATCTCTTCTAATAATACTTATTATTAAAGTATTTAAGTATAATGTTTAAATAAATTTTTAAATTATTAAAAATAATTTAATAATTTTTTTATTATATTTAGTCAAATTCTTATATTTTTATTTTAAATTAAATAAATTTTTATAATTAATAATTGATTAATTATCATTAGTTATATCCACATGACAATGATATGAAATTGATGTAAATGGTGAAATATATCACATAGTTATGCTATTTTATTAAATTAATATGTTATATCAATATTAATTATGATATGTTAACATATTACATCAAGGTTATGTGATATAAAACAACAAATAATATTTTGATTAAGTCAATCATTAGTTATAAAGACTTATTTAACTTAAAATAAAAATATAAAAATTTATTTATTTAAAATAAAAATATAAAAATTTGATTTAACATAATAAAAATATAAAAAAATTTAAATTTTTTAAAATAATTTAAAAGTTATTTTTAGATATTATGTCAAATACCTTTTAAGGGAACTTATTTTTAAAGAAGGAACAAAAGAAAGAACAAGAACTAGCATTTAGTAATTTTAAAAAAGAAGATAATTATTTTTTTTAAGTTTTGAGAATTGTTGGCAAATATTTTAATGGTGGCCGACAATAAGGTAGGGCTGTAAGAAGGGAAGACAGACTACCAGGCCCTTGATTGGGCCGAATTTGGGCTTAAGACATGGAAAAGGACAAAACAATAACTGACACGGCGACAGCGGATGTACCGAGGCCGACAGTTAAATTCTGACGCGCTTTGCCTTTGTTTTCACACCCAAAGGGGGCCAAGATCAAAATATCAAAAACGTTTTGACCTCTAAATTTTTAGATCCGAATCTAATTTTGCAAAATTTCTCAAGCTTTCTTTTTTTTAAAAAAAAAAATTGAGATCTTTCTCCCTTCCAAATTTCAAATCGGAAGGAAAATTTTTTCTCCATAAAGAATGGCGAATAACAACGGAAGCAACAACAACGATCGGGAGGAATCGAGCCCTCTTTTGAGCAAACAAGTCGTTGAAGGAGACGAAAAGAAGGAAGCGAATGGTAAAAAGTCGAAGGAGGCGACTGCCGAGGTGGCAGCTTCGCCGGTTGTTAGTTCTGCGGCTGGGTATGGATGGACAGCTGATGGGCTGCCGTTAGGCCACGGGAGTGTCGTCGGAGAGCCCATGGGTCGGGCTCAGTGGGACTCCTCCCTCCTCGCTTGTCTTGGTCGCAATGATGAGTTTTGCAGCAGCGACGTAGAAGTCTGTAAGTCTTTTACATATAATTAGTTTGAGGTTTTTTTAATTGGATCTGATACTGGGAAAATCTGAGAAATTTGGGATTTTTATTTTGTTGTGAAATGTGGGGTTTTCCGTGCAATTGGAAGCTAATGTAGAATAGATTTGAACTCTTTGATTCTTTGCCACTGTTCCATTTATAACCTGTGCAAAGTATTGACAAAGTATACAAACTCAAAGATGTAATTTTGGTTGTTTGATGAAAGTTTGAGCTGGTAGAGACTTTGGAATTTAGAAGGGAAAAAGAAGGAAAAGGAAATCATAAGACCAATTATGTTTTCATATGTTTTGCAATGATTAAAGATATGGGTTGTGATTGTAACCTTGTTCATTGTTTTAATTTTATGATTAATCAATTTTTGATTGCTTCTATCTTTTTATAAAACCTTATGTTATACAAAGTTTGAAAATTTGCTTCTCAAGCTAAAATTTACAAGATCATTTGTTTCCCAAAATTGTACAGGAGAATGTTTTACCAGACATTTTTGTGTATTGAATTTGTCAGTTATGGATTTTTGTATGCTTATTTTGGCCTGGGTTTCTAATGATGATATTTTGGTCAGGTCTACTTGGAAGCATGGCCCCTTGTGTGCTGTATGGAAGCAATGTTGAAAGACTTGGATCTGCTCCTGGGACCTTTGCAAATCACTGCTTGCCTTACTCTGGTCTGTATCTGATTGGAAATTCCTTTTTTGGCTGGAATTGTCTTGCACCATGGTTTTCATACCCTAGCCGTACTGCCATTCGGAGGAAGTTTAATCTGGAGGCAAGTAGATCTTAGCTTTTATCTTCCTTACCTTTATTTTTTAACTCTTTTAACTTCTGTCAATTTTTGTTTGATTTCGAAATTGATTATTGGTGATTTTCGTTTATCCTCTGTTCGTTATCTATATATGACATATTGGCTGATTTAGATGTGACATTTTTGCCTTCTTATATTTCTGTGTTTGTTGGTAAATTGTTTTCTTCCTTTGCATGTCGTTTCCCCATCTTGTGGTGATGGTGGTGGTGGGGAAGTTAATTGTTCTGTCGTATCCTCATTTTCACACACATTGTTGTATTGAGTTAGTTGATCCCTTGATTGCGTTCTTCTTGCGGAGGGACAATTAGGAGTTTTAGGCGTAGAATCAAAGGAACAA